AGGCTAGGCGAACTCCTAAGAGTGCCATCGCAGCCTGGCTCTTTGTCCACACACCTCAGCAGAGGGGGAATAGGCCATCATCAGGCTAGGCGAACTCCAGAAGAGTGCCATCGCAGCCTGGCTCTTTGTCCACACACCTCAGCAGAGGGGGAATAGGCCATAATGACACAGTGGAAATCCACACAAAAACATAAAAAATAAAAATAAGATCTTCTTTAGATGTATTTCATTGTTCACTTGAATAAAAAAAAAACTGTTGAGAATAAAAAATCTCAGCCTCAAAACTGAGGTGAGGAAAAAACACAGAGAACAGCAGTGGAGATGATCTCTCCGTGGCGGCAAAAAGAGAACTGAGGGAGTAGTGCCCCTCCTCCTGGTCATGTGAGCGTTTTGGCGGGAAAGCGCCAGAGGGAGGAGGGGCACTCCTAGTCTATTAGAAAGCTTGCAAATCTTTTCCGTGGCTGGCCTGCGCCTGCGCGGATCCCATGTGGGACTGCACAGAAGCCACGATGATGAATCCCAGTGTTTGATTTAAAAAGCAAGGTGCTAGCCCTCATGGCTGTGAGGAGAAGCATCGTGATAAGAAGCATCAGTGCACATCAGGCAGAGTGCGGTGGCCTCACGGGCAACGTTTATTCTGAACACACAGTGTGTGTGGGGGGGTGGGGAGCTGCACAATTAACACACACAGCCCTGCCTCGTTACTCATGACAGGTGAGTTGACTGGGGCCTATTGGCAGCCTTGGGTTCTTTACCCTAGAGGAGCGGTCTGTCTGCTCGCCATGAGGGGCCAAAGCCTGACCCCAAAGACTCCCACTGGCTAGTGGCTGGTCTGGTCGGTGACCTCTCTGCAGCCCACCCCCACTCTATGTATCCAGGAGCCTGGGGGCCTAATGGGGCGGGGGGGGCAGTGTTCCCTCTAAGCTGAGTTAGTGTGAGCTTGCTCACAGTTTTTTAGCCTCCGGCTCACACGTTTGTCTCAGCTCGGGAAGGGATGGCTCCAGGGGTCATTTCGTAGAAAAAGAGCTAGGGGGACTCATTAGCATAACTCATTAGCATATGCCACACCCCCTGACATCACCGGAAGTGTGTCCTCCGCACAGCTGGCGGCGACCTCCAGCGGGCACCAGCAGGGAGCTCCAGGCCCCGCCCTCCCGCACCTCACCCGGGGGATGGCGTCCCCCCCCCCAAATGACCCCTGGATGGCTCCAGAGCAAACTGATTGATGCAGTAGCCAAATTGCTCGCTCACAGCTTTCATGCCAGTCGCTCACAAAGGAGAATTTTTGCTCATGAGACTCCAGAGCTTAGAGGGAGCATTGGTGGGGGGCTTAATTCTTGGGAGAGAAAAGTGGCACCGGGATGGAGCCTGCCTTTTGGAGGGGGCAGGCGTCCGAGGCCCAGAGGACAATAGGTCATGGGGGGGGGGAGAAGGAGACAGAGACAGACTGGGCGTGTACACAGAGGCTCACCGAGATGTCGTCACAGGTGCGGGGACAAGAGGGGCCACAACTGCTGTACACGGAGCCATCCACGGTGGAGCAGTCCAGCACTGTGTGAGAAAGGGGGCAGTCATCAGCTTCATCGGCTCGGGGTGGGGGGCTGCTTTCCCTCCAAGTGGTGCTCCCCACCCTCCCAAAAGGCCACGGGCCCGGAAGGGGAAATGATGACTTACCTGGGCAGGGGTCCGAGTGGCAGGCCTCCACCTGGGCGGGAGGCCCCTCGCAGTAGTCCCCTCCGCTCTGTGGGGCGGGGCTGTCGCAGGCTCTCCTCCGGCTCCGCATGCCTCCCCCGCAGCTGACGGTGCAGCCGGTCCAGGGGCTCCACTCCCCCCAGGCCCCGCTCCCTGTGAGAAGGCACGGGGGGGGAACAACCGGTCCTCATCTGGCACAGAAGCCACCCACCCATATTCCCTTCTGGGGCCCGTGTCCGCAGAAGAGGCAGGCCCCGCTGTTCCTCCCTCTCCTTAAAAATCGTTGACTCAACTCTCTTGAGAAATGGGCAAAGGGGTACTTTAACTTCCTAGGGTTGCCAACCTCCAGGTCTGGCCTGGAGTTCTCCTGGAATCGCAACTGATCTCCAGACAATACAGAGGTCATTTCCTCTGGAGAAAATGGCTGCTTTGGAGGGTGGACACTCTACGGCATCCTACCTTGCCGAGGTCCCTTCCCTGGCCCAAGCCAGCCCTCCTCGCCCCCCCCCCAATCTCCAGGAATCCCCCTTCTCACTGCTGCAGGCCAGTCCCCGACTCCCACCCCTTCTTCACCCTGGGTGATCTGTCGCTGCCTGGCCTGCTTTATGCTAACGAGTAACCACAGACTAAAATTGCACAGAGGAAAGCCTTCCCTTGCGATGGCAAGAAGAGTTGGCTTTTGTTGCCTCAGGCCAGCCGCCACTTCCAGTCTGTTTCCCTCGTGTGCAGGGGTCATTTCCTGCAGGAGCGCACGGGAGCGGAGCTCCAGCAGTAAAGAGCCCAGGGGGTGGGCACATGCAACAAGCCCCGCCCCCTGCCCCCTGCTCCCAGGAGCCCTCAGTCAGAGCAAGAAGCAGCCAGGTAAGCTGCAGAGCACCCCCCCCCCCCCGGCCCAAAACAGTCCAGTGGCACCTTTAAGGCCAAGCTTTATTCTGGTACAAGGTCTCCCTCCTCTGCGAGGACAGATCTGCACGTTCCCCACCCCCCCAATAGCTAGCAATCCAAAACAGTCCAGTGGAGCCTAAGCGGTGGGTGTTGCCTTCTGACACACGTCCGGTGATGTCAGGGGGTGTGGCATATGCAAATAAGTTATGCTAATACGTTATGCTAATGAGCTCCTGCACCTCCTTTTCTACGAAATGACCCCTGGTCGTGTGGGAAGCTTCCCTGCATCTCGGGAGTGTGGGTGCGGTGGTGGAGGAGAGTGCCCTCAATCCCCGGCTGACTGATGGTGACCCCTGATGGGGTTTCCAAGGCAAGGGGTGTGCAGAGGTGGCTGGCCGCTGACTGCCTCTGCGAAGTGACCCTGGACTTCCGTGGTGGTCTCCCATCCAAGGGCTAACCAGGGCCGGCCCCGCCTGGCTTCTGAGATGTGACGAGATCAGGCCAGCCAGGTGGAGCGGGTGGGTGGAGGGCTCCAAATGCCCATCCTAGGAGGCCACTGATATTGCAGTGTCATTGTGACCACTTCTTCCACACTGAAAAGTCCCACAGCCCAGGGGCCAAAGCCTGGCCATTCTTCCGGAAGGCTTTCCAGGTCTGCCCTCACCAAAGTCTAACTCAAACAAGAGGCTGGGTCTCAAAGAGCCATCCCTGTGAGGAGACGCAAGGGGCACTCACTGGCACACGGCTGGACTTGGCAGGGCTTGTCTTCGCGCTCGGGCCCGAGGCAGGGCACTCCCATCCCAGACGGAGGGGGGCTTGTGCAGAAGTGGAAGCGGTTCTGGAGCCCCAGGCCACAGGCGGCTGAACACTTGCTCCAGGGGGTCCATTCAGACCACTGGCCGTTCACTGGCAAGGGAAGAGCGAGGGAGAGAGAAGAAGAAGGAGAGAAGAGATTGGATCTATGGGTACGTGTCTGCCGAGCAGAGCCTCTGCCACTGAGCCCCCACGGCCCCTCCCCGTGAAACCGCCTTACACTGAATCAGACCACGGCTTCATCCGGTAACGTCTGCTCAGACTGAGAGCCGCTCTCCAGGGTCATCAAAGCATAGAGTTGGAGGGGACCTCCAGGGTCATCTAGTCCTAGGCTGAGGTCTTCCACATTACCTCGTGCCTGGTCCTTCTTTAACTGGAGATGCTGCCGGGGATTGAACCTGGGACCTTCTGCAGGCCAAGCAGAGGCTCTGCCACGGAGCCCCACGGCCCCTCCTCACAAGCCCATCAAGCTGGTTGATAAAAGCCACATGTCCAGCCAGCCCCCCTCCAGGGAGTGACAATTCTGGGACCGCCAGACCCACGGAGGAGGGTCTATCATGACGGGGCTGCCATCTCAGAACTGGGGGTTGGGTCAACAAACTCTCCAAGGAAGAAGAAGAAGAAGAAGAAGAAGAAGAAGAAGAAGAAGAAGAAGAAGAAGAAGAAGAAGAAGAAGAAGAAGAAGAAGAAGAAGAAGAAGAACTCCCCACAACAGACACCCTGTGAGGGAGGTTGGGCTGAGAGAGCTCTTGACAGAAACTGCTCTTTTTCAAGGACAGCTTTTATCAGAACTACAGCTTGCCCAAGGTCATCCAGCCATGTGCAAGTGGAAGAGTGGGGAATCAAACCCGGTTCTCCCAGATTAGAGTCCGCGCACTTAACCATGACACCAAACTGACTGTAAGGGGGTGTGCACTAAGGGGTTCTTACCGTCCCCGCAGGCCGCTCGGGAGCAGTTGCCCACCCGTCCGGCAATGCAGGAGCTGGAGAGAGGGAAAAGAGCCCCATTTAGGCTGAAAAGTGATGGGGGGGGGTGCCACCAGGTTGAAGGGGGTGGGAGAATGGGAGGCGGATCCACTGACCAGTTCTCGCAGCCCTTGGGGACTTGCTCTCCGGGGGCATACAGCACCCCATCTTGGGCACACGGGCACTCCTCCTCTGGCACGCAGAGACTGTTCTGCAAGGGGAAGCAGAGAGGATCAGGAGTCAGAGGGGGGCCCCCTCTCCAGGCGAGGGAGCTGCAGCCGTTCTTGCCTGCACCCTCCCCCCCATCACCACCCAATCCAACCCTTGAGGCCAGTGAATCCCACAATTCCACAGTCAGCATAAGACATGCAAATTAAGCATCTCTGCCCATGTTTGCTCCCTTCATTCTGCTATTTGAGTGAATGGGGGGGCGGGTTGAGAAGCAGAGCTCTGGATGGAATCAGGGATGAGCAGTGCCAGTTCCAGGTTTTGGGAGGCCCCTGACCACAGAGCACCCAGAACCCCCCCCTTCTGCCTACTACCCTCTCCCCCTGATGTCTCCCTTTCCACCCACCTGTGGCCCCCCCTCCATCACCCAGAAGTACCCTTCCTCCACTCACAAGCCCTCTCACTGCCTGCACCACAGTCACGCCCTTTCCCGGGCAGCATTGGGTAGCGGGGGCAGCTGGTAGCGCTGCCCCTGTGCACCACCCACATGCATGCTCTTGTCTGTGCTGGGAAGCTGGGAGCGTGGGTACCAAAGCGCCTGCGAATGAATGGGCAGGAAGAGGGCACACAAACAATGATCTAATGCGGCAGTACTGCCGAATGCGTCCTTAAATTGCACCTTAGTTTTATCGCCATCTAATGAATGTTTAATGAATGTTTTATATTGATTGCTGTGTTTTAATTGATGTTTTATAATCTATTATGAATGTATACTGCTTGTCAGTTCTTGGAAGCCACCCTGAGCCTGCCTTGCGGGGAGGGCGAGGTAAAAGTGAAACAAATAAATAATAAATAAATAAATAAACAAGCGGCAGGGAGATGTCAGTGACAGTGCCCCCCACCCCCAAAAAGCTCTGGGCCCTGGCAGCTCCCCCCACCCCTCGAGATGTGCTGATGCCGGCCCTAACCAGGAGGGCTTGAAACTGGGTTGTCTTGCTTTTGGCTTGGTCTTGGGAGGGGGAATCATGGGGAAGGTGTGCTGGTGCCAGTACTGGAAACCCCAAAAGCCCTGTCTCAGGCATGCCTTGGAGTCTCACTCCGATGGGGGAGGTGTTCAGGTGTCAGCGCTTATACACATACTGGGGGTGGGGGTGGAAACTGGCACAACACTCCTGGGATTGTGCAAGGGACAGCCACCACACGCCTGAGCAGCAAGTTAGAAGAGAGAAGACGGAACTCAAACGGTTCTCCCTGGAATACTAAATTTCCACCAGCAGAGAGTCTTTGAAAAAGGGGAGAGTTAGGCTGTGCAGTCCTCTGCCTGTGTCCCGAAGTGGTACGGGCCCCGTTCCACCTGTATACAATGATGGTGCCTTTCACAGATCAAGAGGGGTAGCCAACCGTGTCAGTCTGCCTGTAGCAGTAGACAAGAGCCAGAGTCCAGGAGCCCCTGAAAGACTAACAATATCGGGGGCAGGGGAGGAGCTTTCGAGAGTCACTGCTCATGAAAGCTCCTACCCCGTCACAAATTTTGTTGGTCTTTAAGGTGCTACAGAAGAAGGAGAAGAAGAGATTGGATTTATACCCTGCCCTTTCCTCGGAGTCTCAGGGCGGCTTACAAACTCCTTTTCCCTTCCCCTCCCCACGACAGACACCCTGTGAGGTAGGTGGGGCCGAGAGAGCTCTCTCCAGGACTGCCCTTGAGAGAACAGCTCTGAGAGAACTTGTGACTGACCCAAGGTCACACCAGCAGCTGCAAGCGGAGGAGTGGGGGAATCAAACCCGGTTCTCCCAGATTAGAGTCCGCACCCTTAAACGCTACACCAAATTGCCTCTCTACACCAAACCACTACACCAAACAGGACTCGTGCATTTAATGTATTTAACGTATACAGTGATGGTGTATTTAATGTAGATTAGCCTTAAGAGGGGCAGATGACGACTGTGCAGTTCCACTGAAAGTCTGTTCCACGTCCACCCGTGATGCACCTTCTCCCAGGTGCTGAGTTTAGCCCCTCGGGGGCCTCAGGGGCTGCAGGGGGTACTCACCAGCAGGACAGTCCCCCTGGGGCAGAAGCAGCCGGGCTGACAGGTCCCGTTGGTTGCGGGTTCCGTGCTGAGCTCTGCGCAAGAGGCCGGTCCCTCAGCACACTCCTGCCACACCTTGCCATCTGGGCACTGGCCTGGGACGTCACCTGGTTCAAAAGGGCAAGGGGTGAGTGGGTGGGGGTGGGAAGCCAGGTGGAAGGGGTCCCGACTGCTGCGGCGTCTCCTGATCTGCAAAGCTGCCTTTAAAACGAACACCCAGGAAGCTGCCTTTGAGTGAATCAGACCCTTGGGGTCCGTCATGGTCAGTTTTGTCTACTCGGACTGGCAGCCGCTTTCCAGGGTCTCAGGCAGAGAAAGGTCTTTCCCATCACCTCCCAACGGACCCTTTTAGCTGGAAATGCCAAGGATTGAACCTGGGACTTTCTGTAGGCCCAGCACAGGCTCTGCCAGTGAACCAGGTCTTCTCCAAACAGCAAAAGACTACCTTCTACTGAATCAGACCCTCGGGGTCCATCCAGGTCAATCTTGTCTACTCGGACTGGCAGCAGCTCTCCAGGGTCTCAGGTGGGAGGTCTCTCCCGTCCCCTCCTGCCTGCTCCTTTTCTGAACTGGAGATGCCAAGGATTGAGCCTGGAGCCTTCTGCATGCCAAGCGGAGGCTCTGCCACTGAGCCACAGCATCAAACCCTCAGAAGTAGCTGCCTGTTATTACTGACTTTCTCAAGGCCAAACAAAACACCTTGAACCAGACTGGAGGGGGGGGGGGAATGGGACTGCTGGGTCTTGCTCCTCTTCCGTCTCTTGCTTCCGTGAGACCCAACAGATTTCCAAACCTGCCGCTTAGAAATGAGACCCCCTTTCTCTCCCCGCCGGCCCCACACAGAGTGGGCTGTGATGGATGCAGAGACTAAGCTCTGTGCTCACCTGTGCAGGGGTGAAGGTTGCAGGTGGCAAAGTCGATCCTGCGCAGGACGGTGCTGGCCCGTGTGCGGTTCCGGTAGCCGCCTCCACACGGCACCGAACACTGTGACCAAGGACCCCATTCCGTGCCGGAGCCTAGCGGGGGGGGGGAGAGCAACGGGCCAAAGAGCCCCGGGAGTGCAGCTCAGTGAACAGCCCTGGCGACAGGCAGGCCCCTCCCAGAACACCCCCATCCGGTGCGGGCATGGTGCCTTCCTGCTGCCCAGTGCCCAGCTCTGCCTTCCTCACCCCCAGGCCCCCACCATGCCAGGAAGCCCCAGCCAGGACTCCGTCCCCATTTGGGCCAAGGAAAACAGCATTCATCCGAGGAGAAATGCAGCCAGGACTCATGCCTGCTCGGGAGAACATACAAACACCAGAAAAGCTCTGCTGGGTCAGACCAGGAAGGGTCCCTCTAGTCCAGCCTCCCATCTCACACAGGGGCCAGCCAGTTCCCCTAGAGGGCCAACAACAGGGCAGAGAGGCCGAGGCCTTCCCCTGAGAAGGACACCAGAAGGGCCCTGCTGGGTCAGACCAGGGAGGGTCCATCTAGTCCAGCATCCCGTCTCACACAGTGGCCAACCAGTTCCTCTGGAAGACCAACAACAGGGCAGAGAGGCTGAGGCCTTCCCCTGAGAAGCACATAAGAGCCCTGCTGGATCAGACCAGGGAGGGTCCATCTCGTCCAGCATCCTGCCTCACACAGTGGCCGCCCAGTTCCTCAGGAGGGCCAACAACAAGGCAGAGAGATTGAGGCCTTCCCCTGAGAAGAACGTCAGACCAGGGAGGGTCCATCCTGTCCAGCCGCCCGTCTCACAAAGTGGCCAGCCAGTTCCTCTGGAGGGCCAACATACAGGGCACGGAGGCCGAGGCCTTCCCCTGAGAAGAACATCAGAAGAGCCCTGCTGGGTCAGACCAGGGAGGGTCCTTCTAGTCCACCCTCCTGTCTCACAAAGTGGCCAGCCAGTTCCTCTGGAGGGCCAACAACAGGGCACGGAGGCCGAGGCCTTCCCCTGATGTTGCCTCCTGGCTCTGGGATTCAGAGGTGGACTGCCTCTGAATGTGGAGGTTCCGCTCAGTCACCATAGCTAGAAGCCATTGATAGACTTATCCTCCAGGAATCCGTCCAATCCCCTTTCAAAGCTGTTTATTCCTGTGGCGATCCCGGTGCTGGACTGAGGAAAGGCACTCTGTGCATGCTCCAGGGTACTCTTTTTGCCTAATCACATGGCATCCAAAAGTGGCTCCCTGGCAGAACCCTCACACCGTTCCATGCCTGAGGAGATGCCTCCACACTGGGCTCCTCCCTCTGACCCGCACCCGGCACACTGGAGTGACGGATCCCGCCCCCCAGCCCCCTCACCAGGACAGGCTTGCAGGCTGCAGAACTCAATCTCCACGTTGGGCCCCTGGCAGAGGTGTCCTCCGGCAGAGGCTGCCGGCTCGGAGCCAGAGCGGAAGCGGCGGCGGGTGCCCACGTTGCAGGTGCGGCTGCAGGTGCTCCAGGGGGTCCAGGTGCTCCAGCCGCAGTCCACTGCCAGGAGGAAGGAAGGAAGGAAGGAAGGTGCTCAGGCTCCCCCGTAAAGTCCCCGGAAGGCAGAACTGGGAAGAGGCGCTCTCTGAAAGGAATCATCTCTCTTCTGCTATCTTTTTCTGTCTCGCTGCCCGGCACCTTTCAGGAAGCCTTTGGGGGTTTGACTGACAGCTCTGAGCCGTCAATGAAGCACATAGAGGGATGGGGGCTGCCGGCTGGGACTTCTTTTGCCTCCTCCCCTTCCCATCATTGTCACTGTTATGCCTGGGGCATTCAAGAGCTAGTTACCACGGACTGGCTGAGCTTGTTGCTCCGGAACAATAGCAACCTGGACTCTGGGAGGCGGCCAATCAGGAGTTAATGGTTCAATACTTGTACCCAGGGGTTGTTTCCTCCCGGAGCACACCGGAGTAGCACTCCGGCAGAAACGAGCCCAGGCCCCACCCCCCTGGGGGGGAATTAAATGCCTGACTTCCCAGCCCCATTGAGTAGGGAAGATCAAGTAGGGAAGCCAGGCATGTCTCCCCGCGGTGGGCTGGCTGGAGAAGGAAGAGGAGGTGGGGAGACATGCCCTCCTTTCCCCCTGAGCCTTTGCAGAGAGACTGGGGGGGATTTAAATGCCTGGCTTCCCACCCTGATCGAGCAGGCAAGCCAGGCATGTCTCCCCGCCTCCTCTTCCTTCTCCGCCCTCCTTTCCCCCTGAGCCTCTCCGCTTTTGCGGTGAGACTGGGGGGGGGGGGGGATTTAAATGCCTGGATTCCCACCCCGTTCTTCTCCAGGTGCCCTGCAGCCATAAAATACAATGGGATACAATAGAATACAATGGGGCCATAGAATACAATGGAAAGATCGTGCCGCCCCCGCGGCATGACTCTAGAGAGAAGGGGTTTAAACTTTAAACCCCTTCTCTCTTCGCTTCCCCCCCACCCCGCCTTGGCAGGTCTGCTGGGGAAGGGAAGGGAAGGCTTCTGAAGATGCCTCCCTCCCTTTTGCTTCCCCTTCTGACACACTTCCAGTGATGTCGGGGGCGTGGCATATGCTAATGAGCTATATGCTAATGAGCTCCTGCACCTCTTTTTCTACGGAATGACCCCTACTTGTACCTATAGTTGTGCATGCGGGTATCATCGAAGGGAGGGGACGACAGGGTTGTGGGGACATACACTGCTGTGGTTTAGATAGAACACCTTAGAACACCATCTTGGTTTTACGATTCGGAGTGAGTACTGGAGCACCGATAATTTAACTTATTTTTAAGAATCTTATTTAACTGTAGTATGTGTTTTATTGTATTTTATGCTGTTTTTATTGTTATAATCTGGCATTTATGCCTCTGTTAGCCGCCCTGAGCCTTCGGGGAGGGCGGGATACAAATTCAAATAAATAAATAAATAAATGTTGGGGAAGGGGTGTGGGCTTCGCATGCTATTGAAACAGGGCCGTTTCCCCTGTTTGTCTGTCTTGTTCCTGAAATCACGAAATGAAGCTGAGCTATTTTCACGGCAAGGCGGCTTGAACCCAGTAATTTATAGTCCCCCTGCCAAGGGTCAAACACGACAGCTGCCTTTTTGGTCGCATTCTGCGTTGTGGCTCCCACCCCCTCTACCTGGGGAGGCCACGTTCCACCAGCGTCCCACAGAATACATAAAACGGGAATGTCCCGGGGGGGCATTCTTAAAACAGGAAACAGGGTTTGTGAAAACTCCAGGGAGGTATCATTGCATGGTTTATATGCACTAAACTGCTTTTATAGCACTGTTGTTTCACTGGGTAATCCCTCTTGTGTCTAAGTTTGAAACGCAGACTGTAAATGAAGGAGGCAAGCGAATAAATGAGCTATTCTTGGGAGGGAGCTAGGGAAACAGGGAAACATATATAGGTTTTAAGCTGTTTCCATTGCCTGGTGTGAGTCCTCCCTTGGAGTTAATGTCTGCGGGAGCTTTCGAAGGGGTTCATCGTATCACATCAGTCCGTTCTTTCCCATTCCATCGCTCCTCATTAACACTTCTGTCCCTGGCTTCGTTTCTTCTTGGCTCTGCATTTAAATGAGGGTCGCCAACCTCCCGCTGGTGGCTGTAGAGCTCCTGAGGTCACAACTGATCGCCGGGTGACAGAGATCAACGCACTTAGAGAAAATGGCCGCTTTGGAAGGTGGACTCCCTGTGGCATTGTGTACCTCACTGAGGCCCCTCCCCTCCCCAAACCCCGCCTCCTCCTCAGGCTCCACCCCCCCAAATCTCCAGGTATCTCCCGAACCGGAGAATTTGGCCCTCCTGGCCAGTCTTACCCGGGCAGGGCTCCGTGTCACACACCATCTCCCCATCAAGGCAGGTGCTGGAAAGGAAAGGGGAAAGGTGCAGGGCTGACTCCCTTCTTGGGATCACCTAGAAGAAGGGGGATTGAGGGGGCGGATGGGGGGGGACTCAAACATGCCGGGTGGTGATGAGACGGAAGGGGCTCCTCCTTGGTCTGCTCCAGTCTTTAGGGGAACAAG